GGCAGGAAGTTACTACAATCAAACATAGTCATTGACCAGCAAGCACTGTGCTGAGGAGACAGCTGAGTTATTTTCTATGGAATAGAAAAAGTACACTGCAGACAGATGGGCTAAAGAAAGAGTAATCCTAGAACACTTCTAAAGGCTGAAAATATTGCCAAAGTATTCTTAATCCAATCACAAGAATCCCAAAGCCTGCTTTGCTCCCATCCCCAAAAGCAACCAGCTATGGAAGATAGACACAGTCCACCTGTTATATCTAACAGCTATCAGAAAAGCCTTGTAGTCTGACTGCATTTTGTAAAATACTCAGTTCCCATCACACCATGAAGAAATCCATCGAGCCCTACATCTCTTCTATACATCAAAAGAATAAGCTGCTGTATGCGATCAGGATTCCAAGTGGAGATTGTGAAGTCTTTAGTTTGAAGTGTCGCAGCACAGAACTTTTATAACATACATTAATCTCTTAAAAGCATATTCATGTGTCCATTTCTCTGGAAGAAATTACACGTGATTAGTAAAAGCCTGTTGCTCCAAAACGTCCATCTCTACAGAATCATCCTATATATTAATTGTTCCACTAGTCTTCCCTTGAGCAGTTCTAGTAAAAACTGTATAGTTCAAAGACTTTTTACATACAGCCATAAGCAAATAATTTTCACATGAGATCAGTATTCCTAAGATCACTGTTTGAAAGCTGTTCCAGACAACAAAAGCCTTGATGCTTGCACTTTGCCCAGCACAACAGTTTGCATCTTTCTACAGTCTGACTACAGATAAACCATCATAAGAATCAGTATCCAAGATCTAAATAACTATAAGTCTTTCATTTATTTGAAACTATCCTGATTCTCTCCTTAACCAAAAGTGCTTAGACAATAAATCAATGTGATATTCCCTATGGCAATTCCTATGTGGATGCAATGCTGTCTAATCAAAAATGTAATTTATATACAGAATACCTTAACCTAGGTAAGCAACATGACATCCAGAACCCAGAAAGCCTTGCTTTCCTCAAGTGGCTGATGGAAGCTGAGGAGCCAAACAGCTCTTTGTTTTTTAACAGGTTCCTTCCCAAAAGAGATGTGGTAGCTGTTCCTTCCACTGTTCCAATCCATCCTCTGACAATAGAGATGTATTTACACAATATTCAGTGCAAACACCAGTGAATACAACTGCATAATTAATCAAAGGGACTACTTACTGCAAAGTCACTGGAGTAGACATAACCTACTTTCCACCAGCTTTGGTCTGAGATTAAAGCTTTGGTCTATTAACAGAAGTACTAATTGTCAGTGCTTTTATTTTTTTGTTTTCTGGAACCATTCATAATAACATAGGAAATTTATAGACATAAAATCTGGCCTGATTTCTAGTCTCCATGACTCTTAAACTCAGGACATTTCCAAAGAAATCAGAGGAACTTCCTAGAAGATTAAGAAGAAGGCAATGAGAAACAATGTGCAGATTTTGCTACCAAAGCCAGAACACTTATAAAAATGGCCATTTGTTATTCTGTAATCAGTGTGATAGCTTGTAGAGGGTTAATTTGCCTCTCTTCCCAGAGGAGATTTTTTAAATTGTGCATTCTAATAGCAGCAGTAATATTTTGCATCAGAACAAAGAATCAAGGTTGCAGGAAAGTATCTTTTAGAATGACAGAAAATTACAGGTTAAATAGCCCTAGGAGATTATAAATAGCAGCAATAAATAACTTCCCTTGCTCACTTCTTCATCCATTTCCTCTCTCAAAAGCCCACAGATGCAGAAAAAACCATACTGCATGGTCATGGAGAGGTGTCACCTATAGATAGTAACGTAACATAACCCATAATACATAAGTACAACTAACTCCCACCAGTGGAAGTCTGTGAGCTCAGATGGTCTCAGGGGGTAGTGCTTTACACAAGGAGAGAACTTTTTTATTTTTTACAAGCTGCTACTGAAGGTCTGTGATGCCAACTATGTGATAGGAAGCATGTCACCAACTTTATAATGCCTGCTCACTGTGTACATAGGAGGGCAGAGTCAGGACACCCCTCTATTCTGTCTCAAGAGGGTCCTGTTTTCTCCACCCCAGCTCTCATGGAGTGCAAGCTACTCAAAAGGGGCAGTGATAGTAAGTTTAAGGCCTTAGCTCAGGGAAAGCAGCAATTTTTTAACTCTGAAAGAGATCTCTTGCCCGGAATGGGAGAGCGGATGGTAAAATTCAGGAGAGCTTTTTTGACTGTTTGCTCCATATTTCAAGAAGCTTACAGCTCTGCACTGCCTCAGAAAACTCCTTAGAGGAACAGCCTTGGCCTACCAGGGCTAGAGGCTGCCATATCTGAAGTGCTGTATTTTGAGTGGGTATCTCACTTCTGTGGCCAAGCAGAGAAGCCAAAGATATTTATGTAGTTAAAGGCTACAGTGGGTACTGGGAATCTTGATACTCTGCTGCCAGAGAACCAGTCAGTGCAGGAGAAGTACATCTTGCAAACATTGTCTGTATTTGTGGGAAAAGCTAATTTTTGTTTTCCTGGGTTCCTTTAGAAAGTGTTGCCTGTGGAAACACACAGGCGGAAGAGAGAGGAGAAGAGCAGACACATGAACATTGAGTGCACCTATGAGTTGCGCCAGAGTGTATCACCATTCTTTTTATCCAGCTGGTGGGACCAACAGCGGCTGTTGCTTCATAATCAGCAACCTGGAGATGGCTCTGAGAATGCTTTAGGGAAGCATGACTGTGACTGACAAAAAAGACCCAGAAAAGAACATTAAGGCTCATGCTCATGCTTTGTCTGCAGTGGCAAATTTCTTCCCTCCTCCAAATTCCCTCCATTGCCAATATGAATGCAGCTGGACAATTGTTAGAGATGTTGGGAGGCATAATATATGAGTTTTCATCTAGTCAGCCATTTGCAGCACTGTGTCAATTAACCCTCCTCAGAGCAGGGTTAACTGATACACTGCTGAAAACGGCTGCTGGATCTGAAAGCTGTCTATACTAAGATTCCCATTGTTGCTAACTCTGGTGCAGCTGCAGTGGAATCAGTCCACGTGGGATTATTTGGTAACAGTTCTCCAACCTAAAAACTGCTTCAAAATGCAACACAGCCACCTGATGGGCCAAAACACCCTTCCACTGCACCTCAACAGCTATGCACCCAGGCTGTTGCCATTCATAATGGGATTTCTTTCAGTCCAGAAGGTACTTTTTGCATTTCTATATGAAGTACTCAGTGCTTCATCTCAGAAAACTGGTGTTCCTTGTCACTCCCATAGGAATGCCTCTGCTTATTAGCTCTTATTAGCTCTAGACTTGAAGACGTGTGTTGGAAGAGCCAGTTTTCTGTTAGTGTCTTTTCATTGATTCATACACTCAAAAATTTGTCATTTCACATATGAAAACTTTGTGATTTGTTTTTCGTTTTTATTTCTTTATGCAGATCCCATTCTTTAATTTATGGCTGGAGTTCTGGTTCACTAGGAATTTTGCTTTTTTCCCTGTTAACAAGTAAAGCCTTGTTTATGCAGAACAGCACCATGAAGACTCAAAATGATTTCTGAGGGAGTAAAGTTCTATTTTGAATACACAGAGTTGGCAGAATCAGTCCCACTTATTTCCACGTACTTTAGGAAGCAGTTATGAAACATGCTGGTGAAATGGGTGTTTTACCCTCTGCTGAGTAAGACTAATACTCCTAAAAAGCCCCTCTCTATCCTTCTCCCACATCCATGTCCAACACTAACTAAAACAAGGAAGTGTTGTTTGGCATTTGTTACACTTTGGAACCACTATTTATCAGACAGATGCTGGCAGTCAGGTTTTTTTAAGTGCAGTTTCCAAGTGTGAGAATGTTGAAGCCTAGGCTCAGCAAAAATCTCAGTGAAAAACTCCAGTTCACTAAAGCCTCTGATTAATGACAGGCAGGTTTCAATTCAAGCATGGCATCTTATGCAAATACAGAACACAGCTATTTTCAGAATTCTGGGCAAATGCATACGCCTATGAATATTTACAGAGGCTCGACATACCCACGCAGGGAAATGGCAAAGGGGCAGACCCAGAGGAGATGCAATCCATAGCCTCCCAGCTGTAGTGGTGAGCACTAGAGCTTAGCTCAGGGTGTTGGGATGTTGAGCAAAACTGATTTGGCAGAAACTTGGATACAGCTGAGTATTTTGAGAAAGGGGAAAGGAAGTGGCTCACTCTTCCTTCATTCCTGATACTGCTGCTGCGGCTGTTTCTTGCTCCCAGAGATCCCTTTGGACAAAGGGAGTGGGCATGGTAACTGAATTGCCTGCAAAGCAGGAGTGACAGCTGTCTGTGGAAGGAAGGAGCTGCTCCATACTGACTACCCTTTAGCTCAGATTGAGCTGTAGGGATGCACGGTGAGGTTGTCAGATCACAGTTGTTGCACAACTTGGTAAATATGTTTATATGTATGCTTAAATGGTTTTCATTAATCTCCTGAAGGGTTCTTACAAAAACGCTAAACAATTCCCATCCCAAATCCCAGTGGAACTGGATTTCTCTTCTCCCTTACCCCTACTCCTTTTCCCTTTAATATTAGACTCAGTATCTTACATATGGTTTTATATGAAACTCTAATTAAAACTCCTTAAGACTGGCTCATTTTTCTCTGCAATGAGTTCAGTTATTTCTTTTTTATACCTTCCAGAATTTACTATACCATATCTAAATATTGGCTGTAATCCACATGTTTTAGATCATTCTCTATAATGGTGCTGTTGTTATAGAATCCTTTGTGTGTGTGTGAGAAAGAGAGAACACGCATATGTGTTGGAAGCAAGACAGGGTGCATAGAATTGTTTGGAAAGAGAAATCAGAGTATAACAATTCCATAAGGGATTTCTGAACTGATAGCATAAAAGTGATAAACATAGTTGAGCACTGAAATTATAGACCTCCAGTTCATTCAGACTGAACTGTGGGGATGCACCTTCTATGTGTGATAATTAATAGTTCTGATCTCAACATGTTACTCTTCTATATATATACACACTACAAATGTATGGCTCATTCAACTTTTGTTGCTATATAATTTTACGGATCGGATTTATTGTTGTCACATTTGCTTATTTTTACTTGTATTCTAAGTGTAGATCCTTGACCTGAGTCATACCTGTCAGTCAATGGTAAGCAGCATGAAGACAAAACTAAGGCAGCATCTGAAAGTCCTTATTCATTACACCAAAAGCTCATTACCTGCTGGAGACCATACAGAGAACATGCATATGTAGGATAAATAACTGATCCAAAGAAAAAGCAGGAAAAGCTTCATTTGACAAACCATAAACTTTAACCAAAACATGCAAAAAAGTCACAGTGTCCTAATGTATGGCTAGAACTTATGAGGAGGAACTGAGAAATGCCTCTGTACTTCCATGACAAAATGAAATCAGTAGCCCTGTTGCAGTGGGTGCCTTTGACTCTTGCCTGTTACTCCACATGTAGAAGACGCATTTAAGTGGCAAACAGATAGACATGGACTGATTTTGTGTCCAGCAAGTGTGTCCTACCTCACAGCCCATCCAGTTCACACTCACAGCAGGCTGAGCGTCCTCATGCACATATGGAGTCACAAGAGCGTGGCAAATTTGCTCTCACATTTCTTTCAACTTCTCATTGCAGACAAGTATTAAGACAGCCTGTCAGTGCTGTAAATGCAGACCTCTTTCCCATGTGGAGAAACAACCACCCAGAACAGAGCAGAACAGATGCAGAACACCCTGCACTAGCTACTCCACTCATGTCCCACCCTTGTAGGGCACTGGGCTGGAGATTAGGATATCATTTTCTGCTGGAATTAATTTCACCCAAAGACAGTATACTTACTTTCAATATATATTTTTTCCCCAACAAGCTAAGATAAATTTCTGCTTTGGTCCATTAACAATACTTGTATTTTTAATCAGAATTATTTTGTACTGTATTTTCTTTGGAAATAGAAGTAATACAGTTTATGTGAAATACAAACAAATGAGGGAACCATTTTTACCTAAATGTATGAATAGCATTTTGCAATTTGTCATTGTGATATATTTATCTTTTGAACTTTAAATGAGCTCAGCTGAAAAAAATGCTTCTCTTCGTCACATGACTGGAAAATATATTACACCACAGAAGAATATTGCTGTTTTAGTTTAGAAAATAGAGGCTAGATATAATTTTCCACTATACTTACTTTCACAAAGTATGGAGTAAATTATTTACTCTACAGTAAATTCTTAGTACATATTCCAAAAGGTGGTAAATTCAGCATTCTCGCTTAAATTAATGGATCTTTTGTGAATGTGTGTTAAAACTAAGACCCTTAAGACCTTGTGTTGCCCGCTGAAGCCTTAAAACCACTCTAATATGGCTAGTACAAAACAAATTTCAACAAAATGAAGCCTGGAGGAAGGAAACCAGTTTGGAACAGAAAGACAAAGACTGGCCAGTGGAGTGACAGCAGAGAAGCATCTGAAGGTTTGGGTTTGCTGTCTGTGTGACACCCGTGCCCTTCTAGAGGCGCAGGGTATGCTGGTGAGTACACCAGGGCAGTGTTTGTGCCCAGAGCTGCCCAGACGCAGCGGTGCCGCTGGTTTCCAGCCAGGCCTACTGCACCACGGGCTGCGGCAGCTCCGTGCCCAGGCTCCGCGCCCGCCCTGGCTTCCCTGCACACCCGCACAGTTAAGTCGCTCCCCGCTTCTGAGCTGCCCCAGCAAACGGGGCTGTGGGGAGCGAGCTGCAGGCACAGCAGCAGAGACAGCCCTGCAGCTCCCCTGCGCTGGGCGGCAGGAGCAGGCCCGGCTGAGCCGTGAGGGGCGCTCCCAGCAATGGCTGCCGCTCCCAGCCGCCATTTTGCGCTGGGGCCGCTGGGCTGCCACATGCCCGCCGTGTAAGCCTCGTGTGATGGGAGAGCGGCCACCAGCGAGGGCTGGGCCGCTTGGGAGCTGTGCCTGCTGCCAGAACAATTCATCTGACACATGCCCCCTTCCTCACATGCTCCAGAGCTGTATCCGGGGAAAAAGGCTATGGGAACGGGCTGTGGGCCTGATAAATTGTCCCATGTGCCACAAAAGCTGGCACTCCATAGGATGAAAACCTGTTTCCTACAGTGTATGGTCATTATGTTTCAAACCTGCTGCTCCTTTGATAACTGGGTTGATGTTTTGTCCATTTTCCCTAGTGCGTATCTGGAGTGCAAAGGAAGGTCCAGGGCTTAGAGCATCAGTTGGGAGCTCAGGAAATGGAGACAATTCCTGTTCATTCTTGCCTGACCTAGGGCAAACCACATACACACAACAACTTGGAAGTGTTTGGATACCTACCTCCCACTTAGCCGAGCAAGAATGAAAATCTGTGCCCTATCAGGAAAACACAGATGTGAGTATTCCCTATCTTCCAGGGCCATTATGAAGATGAAGCCATTTCTGGTCTACAGAAACAAAGGGTAATGGCAGTCATTCAAAAATCATATATATGAGAAAGGGTAGTGCAAACACAGAGGAAATGTTGAGTGGTTACCTAAGGCAAAGAAACATCTTTAGATGTTTCCAGTTATGGCTCAGATTTGGTAAAAATATGTTTAACAAATCTTTATACTTAAAAGCTCTGTCTGAAAACATTCCTAATCTTTTATTTATTTTTTTGAATAATGGTATCAGTAAGAGACCATTATATAATCACAAGAAAATTAAAGCTCTCCAGGGCATGATCTTAGCTGTGTAATTAATGAAGGTGGTTAAAAGTACAAAGTGAACCTGAAGCAAAATTTGTACCAGAACCACACCTCATTATGTTTTCCTGCTTAAGTATGTCGTAAATAGAGATGTTTATTACACATCTGCCATTTAAAGTACTTATTACATGCAGTGTTATATTTTATTTAGATTTAAAAATTTAAAAACACATGATGACAACCTGTGTTACTATTAATACAAGCCTGAGGGGTCAGGCTGCACATGCACATTGTGCCTTAGGTTATATTACAGTTCATTCACTCCAGAGTTACAAATCATTTACAGAAGTATATTGTGTAATTAGTGTGCCTAATTTCAGTCCATGGAGTTTCATTGGTGTGAAAGAACAATCAAGCCCTGTATATCCATTCACATTTATTAGACCAAACTTTGTAGCCTGTCCTTGGAGCATCATTCCTTCCTCTGCTTTCAACAGCAAATGGCATTAAAATCTCCAGAACTTCTCAAAGCAAAAGCAGTTATTTGCTTTCCTTACGATTTTTTTTTTCCTTTGATACAGAACTGACTCCAGTGAATGGGCAGAAAGGGCAAGAGATGGTGTACCAGTTATATGCTTCATAATCCTCTCTTCTTCAGGTTTGTTTTCTTGAACAGAGTGCCCTCCTGGACTAGCTCCAGGCTGGCCTTGAAGAAATCTTTCACAGAAAATTATCTTGTCCATAATGCAGAAAATTGTGTCATTCATCCCACTTATGAGACTACTTGCAATTTATTGACAATATTTTTCAAGCACTTTTTCTTGCACTTTTGATGTAGTACTTAGTAGTACTGTAGGTCCTTCTACCTAACTATTTTAGTTACTGATGGAAGGAAAAAAAAACCATATTAACACAATATAATCCTCTTAATGTTATCCAGAATAGCTTTTCCACATAGCAGTTTAATACACAGAAGTCCAGTGGTAGTTCCAGGGTATATTTCTGTGTGACTGAATATGTATAACAAGTAATGCCTTAAAGATTCTCAGCTCACCTGTAGAATAAAATTCTATATTACCTGTTAGGTTAAAATGAATACCAGAAATTTTGCATAGATTGAGGCTGAATATTGTTTATCCTACCTATTGAAAGGCAATATTCTATATTTATGGAAAAATATAAATGTTTTAATGTGGGAAGGTATTTTCAGGGTATATTTACTTGATTTTGGTCCACTTTTTTATATCATACAAAATAGCCAAAAGTAAGCCACTCTAAACAAGAACTGGTAAAATATATGTGACATACACAGTCTTTAGTGTCTAAATGTATAGTCTGTAAGGATAAATATCTCTACAATAATATGAACTCATTTTTTATGAGTTTATTATTAATTATGAAACTACAGTTTTTTTCTTCATCCTCAAAGCAAAATGTTTAAACTTCTGTCAGTCTAGTACTGAATGTTTTAAATAGAAGCATAAAAGTCACAATTTCATATAGAATTATTTTATAACAGTGTACCTTATATTTACTAAATGTTAGAATAGGTGCTACATCCATATTAGAATTGGAGAAGTAGTAACTGTATTTTGATTTCTGACAATGTATAAGGTAATATTTGTGCAGTAACATCAGTACAGATGCCTCCATTGAATTGTGCAGGATTCTTGGAGTGTAAATTGTAAAGAAATACCCAAAATCTAGATGCCAGATATTTGAATGTTGCTTTATTGCAAGGGTGTATGTCCTTTAAAACAGAATATAATTATCTGGCATTATACTGTTTGACAGATTCAACACTTTTGTAAATGCATGAAGTTTGTGTGAAGTGAAAAAAAAAAAAGAAAATTGATGGAACATTCATGCATTAATTGGCATAACTAAATAACTAAATAATGGAATAACAGAGCTGCATGAAATATAATACTCTCTTATTTCCAAAAGTCTCTCTCACTCCAACCAGGACACCTTATTTTCACTGAGAATTCAATCCTTCATAGGCTCAGTACTTTGGCCAGGACCCAGCTGAGTAGGTAATTCTGTTCTTTTCAGTGGAGTTACTCACATGCCTAAAATTAAGAAGGAGATTATGTACTTTGATGGACAGCATGCAGAATACTCCAGTTCTTTTCAGAGTCTCATCAGCATGCTGTATACATTGACACTTTGAATTTTGTTTTGCTGTATAGGGCTGTATAGATTTGAAAATTACAATCAAGAGGGAAACTAATGAAACAAGGAATAAGGAGTTGAAATTCATCTCAGTTTTGATCCAAAAGGGACCACCAGACTGTTTTTGCAAGATTCTGCCACTGCTGTGGTCATCAGAGAAATCAACTGAAACCATCTTAGTTTTGAAGGTAAGTGCTATTTGTATTGCATTACATTAACATTTAGGGCAAGCTGCATGGCTCTACTAATTTTGCAGGGACTTTGTAATCTCAATATAGAGATTGTGTGGGGAAGACAGAAGGGTACAGGAATATTTGTGAAAGACAATTTGATTCTGATGTCATGATTTGATAATTGATTTTGTTCCGTGGGAAAAACAACCTCAGAGTAGTACACTTTTAAAAGAAACCCCTAGTACGTCCTGCAAAATGGATGGCACTTCATCAGCAACCATGTTAAGCCTGCCCTTCAGGACAGGGCAACAATCCACTAAATTTAACCGTACTTGAAAGAATGAAGTCTAAAAAATAATCAGGCTCCTACAAGTAGCTAAGGGAGATCTACATGCATACTCCAAGAGAAGGAAAGTTGGGCAGAATTCAGGTGTAATAGGTTAAATTTGAGAGTAGCCCTTTATCTAAACAGTACAGATGATTGACTGGTCATTTGGAATACCTTCCAAACTTGCTGCAAACCTCCTCTTTTTGTCTGGTAGAGAAAGTCAAATGAGGGACTATTCCCAGCAAAAAGGAGGAAGAAGCCCAGAGGATAACTAACACCCACAGGGAGTGTGTTCAGGCTTCATTAGATACTCACAGCACAGTGTGTATCATTGCTCCCAATTTAGCTGTCATATAAGACTTTAGGGGGTAGGTGGATAGATATAGAACCCATTAGTAAACAGAGCAGGACAGTGTGGGAAACAGTATGAATAAAGCAAAATGGGATTCAAGTGGTCAGTGTTCATGGGTAGGAAGTCCAGTTACAGAAAGTACTTTTTTTTCTTTTCACATTGAAAACAATAGAACAATACACACTGAAGAAACACTTATTAGACACAAGAAATATGATGTTGCAAAAAGTAATAAAAAGGAGATATAGGGAGTTATTAAAATGGAATATTAAGAGAGGCCAAACCATGTTTCCGTGCTAATTTCCTCTAAGAAATTTTAGAGTGTTGGAAAACTAAGAATTGCCTTTTGGAAGCAACAATCAAGTGTTCTCATGGATTTCCACAGAACAATACTCTGAGACATGATGGACAAGTACAACATAGTAAATGGCTAGACAGACACAGGTGCAGAGTTACTGGCAGCTCTGCTCTGAAAGCAGATCCTTCATTACAGGTCTCGTTGTGGATTTATTATTAACATGCGTTTCCCCTTTCCAATGAGTTTTGCATTTTTATATATTTCTGGAACACTGCTCATGTTCCTGAGATATACTTCTGGAAGAAGATGCCTCAAATTCAAGCAGATGAATGGTAGCCCAAAGACATCTTCTTTTGCATGTTTGTCTTCTTTCATTGCAGAGAGAGGCGCCTGCAAGAAAAACTGAGTCTCCTTCCTTCGCTTATATTGCCAAGAGTTTTAGCAAAGCAGTGAAATAAATTCCTCAGATAAAAAAATACTGCCTCTCCTGACAGTTTACAAGATGTTATTATCTTGGGGCCAAAATTTAAAGATTTAACTTGATTCTTATTCTTCCACTCCTTGGGTAGAACTCCATTTATTTTAACAGTTTTGCCTGAGGCAAAACCTCAGGATTCAACTCTTAGAGAATACCAAGTATCTTAAAAATAGTCCTAAATGCAACTAAGATCCTTCAGGCCCAAACCATTCCAGTATCTTAAAAATAGTCCTAAATGCAACTAAGATCCTTCAGGCCCAAACCATTCCAGGGTCTACAGGAGAAATCATCACAAGTCTTTAAGCAAAAAACTGAAACATTATTTAAGCCTGGGAACACTGTTTTAAAGTAACACTCTTTGATGTTCTAGAAAAATGTAAACAAAAGATGTAATTTGTGAGGTTGATAATTGATCACGTTCTCAGAGTGCAAAATAGCCCTACAGGAATATGGTAGAAGTATCTGAAATTACTGTAGGGAAGAAATTTGATCTTATTTTAAACATAATTAAAGCCTTCTGCATCTCCACAAAACCTCTAAAACCGTGGAGATCTCTGATGGTTTACCCTCTGGGGAGAACACACAGATATGAATTTTAATAGTGTCTTTTGGTAATGTGGTGGATAAAGACAAATTGATTACAGCAGTCTGGAAAAAAAGCAGGTGATGTGTTACCAGGGCCACTGGGTTCACGTTTTCCCAGACATGGTGAGGGCCACCCAGATTGTAAAAGAAAGCTGATATCTTTAAAAATTTGATTTGGGGCTTGATATGGCTTTCTTATTTCCGGATACACTGGATTATATCACAAGAAAAATAAGATGGATGGTACAGATTCTGTTCTCATGTACACTAAACCAAAACTAGGCTAAAACTTTTGACACCAATGGATTTGCCTCAGATTTATGCCCAATGGAAGAGCAGTGATGTCCTGATTATAATGTCTGTCATTATTATCTGATAAGCACTGTGAAACCAAAAGAAAGTCTGAGAAATCTGAACTCTGAGATAAATGTTTCTACATATTTGCATGACATACCAAACAGAACGCTCTTGTAGAAGTCCCTTATGAAGATATTTGTGCCTGGTCTCAGAGTACATGGTTATTTAAATTTTGTTTCCAAGAGAAACTAGCTGTGCATTCTGATGGGACATGAAGTGAGTTGTGTGGTGATAACAGTAGGCTCCTTGCACTCTTTCTTTCTAGACCATTTGGATTTCTACTAGGACAATTAGAGATAGACATTTGAACTGAAAAGACAATTCACTAACATGCATGGATATCACTGCAGATAGAAAGCTGAAAATCCTATTGTTCAATTATCTATCCTTGAACTTTGTCTAGTTTTGCTGATTAATATTTGGTACATGTGGATATATACACACCAGTTCAAGTGTGCACATATGGATCAGGTTGGAATTTGATCTGCTTACAGATCTAGCCACTTTTCAGTACCACAGGTATCCTGCAGCCTGCCACAGTGCCATGAATTCGGTGTGCTGAGGAGCCTCACTTATTCCAGTGCTCCATATTAGCTTTGAAAAGCTTTGATTAGCTTTGACATGGACCCAATCCAAATAAAAACTAATTGTCCGTACAGATGTGTGGCCCTGGAAAGCTCTGCTCAGCTGCATCTAACTGAAAAAAATAAAACACCTCTTTCTGTGCCATGGGAAAGCCAGAAACCTCTACTTTTTCAGATGTGCAGTGTTGTCCTTTAACAGGGCTAGAAATTAAGTAAATCTTTTAAAACAAGCACAAAGAGAGAAGTCCTGAGTTGTCATCCTGTCTGTCAAGACCATTCATATTTCTGAGTTAATGTTAAGTAGTCCCCATCTAGATCACAGCACCTATACTGAAAACAGCAAGTGGAACTTCCTGAACCACTAGAACAAAGTCATGCTTAGCCTTAGATTCTTACGCTTTGCAATGGCACAACCCTTACAGGAAGAGTAGAAAAGCCCATCTTCTCCCTCATTCCAGTAGTCTTTCATCTGACAGTTGGATTGCCTGGCTGCAAGGCAATTCTCTTGGGTATGAAACCCCACCAGCAGAGCTGGGGGTCTTTTGTGTCAGATGTGTGTGCTCAAGCCATTGTATCAAAGGCAAGATGGCAAGGCTACCAGAACTGGAAACTTGTTTCAGAAGAGAAATGAACTGTGCTGGGTCCTGAAGAAAGGACGCTGATAACCTACTTTAAGAAGTGCCAGGCTCCAGATGTAGAGTGAATGGAAACAGTTCCTACAGGCTTTATGAGATCCACTGGGGAGTAGGTGTACATTATTAACTATGTCTTTAAAATTTCTCAACTGGCCAATTCCAAGCTTCTAGAGCAGCTTAACTTGTCAGTTTTTTTGAAAGCCAATTGTTGCCCTGCTGCAGAGGGAACCTATGCATCTAGCACAGAACGAGCACCCAGGACTAGATGTCAGAAGGTGGTGTTGCAAGAATTATCTTTTAAGTACCTAAATCCTCAGTGGATCTGACCTTCTGCATCTGTGAACCATTTTGAACGCCAAACCACTAGCCTAAATTCTTCAGGTCTTGCAGAATGGTGACTGAAAGGATCTAGGTTACTCAGCTTGCATTTACAAAGGTGTGCTGGCTTAGCTGCACATGTCCACAAGTTGTAGGTATCCCAGGAGTCTGTTTGCATTCCTTTGTCTACCCAAGGAACCTGAGATACAAATAGACAGATATTTAATTTTATTTGGTTTGGGATTTCCCATGCAATGCCTGAAAGAACACAGGTCTGTAATGGCGACTTTTCTTCTGAGTTACAAGTCAGTGACATATCCTTATATAAATCCTATTCTTTTATACAAATAGGAGCTAAAAATGCTTAGCTGGTATGATATAACTTAGTATCAATCTTTTGATCCAAAGCTCATTTTATTGTATATTCAAAATAGATTATATATTTTAAAATATGCTTAATCTGCATCAACCTTTCTCCTCAATAAAATGCAATATAGTAACTCACCTTTAGAACAGCAGAAATTTTTCATTTTGTAATAAGAATCAGTCCATGGTAAACAAGGAGATAATGGTGTTTTCCTACACAACAGAGTGAGGCTTTCACATGAGAAACTAAACTGAGAGAGGACATGGCTAGGCACACAGAAATTGTTTAAGAACAGATGCTGATGTCTTTTCTGATAGATTTGAAAGACTGGGACTTCCTGGCTTCAGAGAGTGACTCAAAAAACAATCAAGACTAATTGAAGTGATACTATGTAAGATCTGTTTGTCATATACTTATATATCATGGTATGATTTTACAGCTTATTTGCAATCTAGCAGAGTTTATACAATTAAAACAATGATCAGTTGATATAGTATGACAACAAAAATCAACACAATAAAAATGTCTCCATGACTTAAAGATGCAAGGATATGAGTTTCCCACAGAGCTGTGGCAAAGAATCTGTGAATTACAGTGGGTTTTTTCCTTCTTTGGTATTTTGCTGTTGAGCTAAAACATTGGCTAGTTTCTCCTATCCCATTCCAGCCCTGGATAGCTGTACTCATTACAGAGCTAGCCATAACATGTTAGCATCTAGGCTGCTGTTTTTCAGGGATGTTGCCAGAAACACTGACAAGAACTGCTATACCATGGCTTTAAAATTATCAGAAAGAAACTAAGGAGCACAGTCGCATCTCCCAGAAGGTCATTGGCTGATGAAGGATCACAAACCCAAACAGAAGGAAGCTTGATGTCGATTTACTGGCATATAATGCTCCCTGTGCTTAATTGTTTAGATCAAACACTGGTAACTTCCAATACAGTAAGTTCAGCTTCACAAGTTGAAGGTTTGTATTTCTTCAGCTCTCATTCTTTCTTCAGTGTTTTAAACTGGTTGTATATATGGTTATAACCATCTAGTTGCTTTCTTTGTGCTTGCTAAGTTCATGGTCTGAAACTTGCAGCAATCTGTTCCTTTACCTGTTTACCACATTAAGTCACATTGCAAAATCCACTCACATTTGAGTGACCTTCAGTTACACTGGAGAGTAAGCATCATATTTGTCTTACCAGCATTGGTCACTACTTCATGCAGCCTGTAAAAAGACACACAATAAACAGTTCCTGTCTTGTCATTTGTTTTAGCTGGATCTCCCATCTGACAGACATTCCAACGAATTACCCATCTATGCCCTGCTTTCTTGCCTTTATAGCTCAGAGTTCAGCTTTGATCGACCTATCAGTTGCTTTGACAAGCTATAATAAAGGAAGAAAAAAAAGCCACACAGCTATAATTACACCTTGCTCTTTCAGAAAATGTGACCAGCTTTCAAAAGCTATCCAACACTGTGAGAACCTCACTGACGTAACAGCACTGCTGCCAGAAAACTAGCAGAAGCAAAATTAGCCAACTGAGAATATTCGTGAACTTTGAGAGAGAGAACTGGAGACCTGTCTTTGAGGAGCGCAGCAGAAGTAATACAGTTCTGTAGTATGGTTTTCCTGTGATGAACTAGCTGTTCCAAAAGGCTCCATACTTTCAGAGTCTGCCAAAGCTGACTGAAGGAAACATCCAGTCAAAGTCTGTAACTTAGGACCAAGTTTTCCAATTGCTTGGGCAGTTTCTGACTTGTACAGGTAGCAGTAAAGAGCAATGGATTCATATTTCACAAAGCTCAGGTAAAATGCAAACATGGATGAGGGTCTCCTGAGAAAACTTTGTGGAGTTTGCATGTACTTTTTCTCTCTTTGACAATACTAGCAGTAATCTGCAAGGAGTTCTTTCTTCGCTCCCTCACTGGTTTTTGACTGGCTTATGTTTACAGAATCAAAATCAGAATCATTGAGGAGAGATAGGGAAAGCATGAAAACTGAGGTAAAGCAAACAGGTAATTAACAACCTTTGTTGGTACCAAACAAAACCTTACCCATGAGCTTTTGTTTACATCCCCCGTGTACTATTTGCTCTGTCTCTCATTTTTTACAATCCTACAGATGAGTTAACTGAGAGGATCTATCTCTATAAAATAGGGAATCCATTTTAGTGGGTTGACTGAGTTAGTTGGCTAGTCCTCCCATTGGAGCAATTTGCTAACAGCAGGAGTGTATCCAGCAAAATGTAGCTCTTCACACAGACCTCCCAAGTTGTCCCATTTCTCTATCAGAGAAACTTTTGTGAGGCCTGGGGAAGGGAGAGTCCTTCTGTAAAAATATAAATAAAAATGCCATGTCTAGGTGGAACCCTGGAAAAATTCCATGGAAGACTATCTCATTATGAACTCTTTCCCTACACACTGTACGCTAATCTGAAATATTAAAGAGCAAGACACAATACTAGCAGGGAAAGCAGAGAGGCTTCAAGTAAGTGGGATCCAGACTCATTTACTTTTGCTTTTTCAGATTATCTAGGAGATCTTGGGTGAGAGACACAGCTGCTGTGCCTCATTTTCTCCTCAGAAAATAAAAAATAATTAATGCTAGTGATGTGCCTCCCAGAACCATCTGAAGAGATAATTTACTAGGATTTATAAAAATCTTGTGAGGAGCAATGTATTTTTTAAATAAATAAAGTGAGTGTAGCCCATACTCCAAGTGGCTAGTGCAATACACAGAACAAGGATTAGCCTGTAAACTATAATCCTTAACATTATTCTGTATGATGTGCAGTGTTCTGCTCAGAGATGCTATCTTGTTGTCGGCACTTTTCTTCAAAATAGTTACACTATAAAATCTATCTCAAATCAGCTGTCTGAGCAGGAATTGAATGTGTTTGGTTTGCAATTGTTTTGAAGGTTTCTAAACCCTGATAGTTCCCCCAGAGAATTGCATTTGCTTTAGGCAATCCTTAAAGCTAGCAAGAGGAGAGCTACACAAAGGCAGATTTGAGGCTGTTAAAATGGTTATATTGGGTTGTGCATTTGACTTGGCTTTCAGGAGAATAAAATGGTTTATATGGGTGTGGGTGAGAGAATAACTTAAAAGTGGGAGTTGTGCACCTGAACTACTAAGCTATTTGTCTCTGTGTTCCTTAATACCTAGTTTCTGTCTCCAAAAATGCACACAGGAGTATTTTCAGGCTAAGGATATATTATAGTCTCTCATCAGTTAAACAAGTGGGACTGAAAAATACCAGGTTTTCACTATTTCTTTTCTCTAATGCCTGTTTCAATAGAGATATGAGTTCTGGGAGCACTGTATGACTTCATGCTTTTTTTTTTATTTTTAATTTTTTCCCCAGAAGTAATGATAAAGAAGTAACATGAAAGACTAGCCTGAACAAAATCTTCGAACTAGAAGATGAACCAGATAACAGATACACATTTCCCAATTCACTGCTATTTGTTCTTGTGAATTTTTGGCAAAGCAAGTGCTCCCTTGAGTTCCCAGATGCCCTATTCAATTGCACAACCCAAAGTACGGGCAACTTTTCACAAAAAAAGGAAATAGGAAAATAGAATCTATGAATCACCATTTCTGAGTGCAAGGACGTTTTAAATTCATTTTGGTTTATATTTAAGAAAAAAATTTGCATACAAACTTGCCAGAATGTATGTTAGTCAAAATGTACTATGCTCCCCTAGAAGGAGCTGGGGAGGGAGAATATGAACTGCAACATTCCCTGGGCTTCTGCAATACTGCATCTGCTCTCAATTAAAGTGAGATGTGGTTTCTAGGACTGTATCTATAGTATTTATCTTACAACCATTTTTAAGAATTATTTTGCAATGATTTTATGAATTGCAATTGCAGCTTGAAGAAAGGGGTGTTACAGTAGTGACCATATTGTCTGCATATTCTTTCTGTTAAGAATCCCAGTACATATCATGTTACTGTCAGAGATTTAAGGAACCATCTATGAAGTACCAGGACGTGAACAAGATTTAAATAATTAAATCCACTACATCCATGGAAGATACTCTCTATTGAGGAACAAAAGGAGAGAAAATGTACATGCTTCCAAAAGCCTAGAGAAAGACACCTGGCAAACCACTGTCACTAGCTTCTGCACAGTGGAAAACAAACACAGACAAGCTTTGAACTTAAAACTCTTAAGTGCATAAAATAGGGCTACATTCTTCTACGTAATTTTTTCCATCCCCCTTCATCTGAAGCCAGTGGGGAACTTCCATCTCAGTTAGTGACCAGCTCAAACATTAATATGCAAGGTTAAGAAAGGGCATTCTGTTTAAGAAGGATAAAATCTACCAATCAATTCTAATTCAATCCCAAATAGTTCCCAGAAACAGATCTATTCATACCTGCCATGTGAAATCACTGCTCGCAGCATATGGCAGCTGTCAGATGATCTATGTTATAGCATAGTTTCTGCTTTCCCCTGACTCTGAGTGGTTTATTAATATTTACCAGCTTTGTGTGAAAGGGGTGGTTACAGCCAAAATTAATTCCTTCTGCCCTTTCTCTTGTCAGCCCTACCAAAATATTACCCCTCCTGTATGGTGTATGGTACAACCAGGTAGCTCTGCTAGCGGCTGAGCAAGGTAAAAATACCCACCTTATGCTTATGATGTAGGGCAAAAAGAAGACCCCAAACCAAATATTGAGAGTTCCCTTATCCACCCCCAGCATCATTCCACACTAGCAGATGTTGTCCTCTCAGGTATCCTGCAACTCAAAACATTCATAGAGTCTAACTGGGCCTGCTCAGCCCCACCCACAGAAACTGGACTATAAGAACAGCAAAACTAGAGAATATGAGTGCTTGAAAACTCCAGAGGGCATAGGTACTTCTGATGAAGCAACCTTTAGAGGCAGACATGAGGGTCCAGAATGAGCAGGGTTGGTGGGTCAGTTTGACAGCCAGCTCCTCTTGTTCTTTGGACAGATCACAGATGTGTCCCAAGAATCTAATCAGGATAATCCTTTGCCAGGTATATGTCGATTACAGAATATAAAACATAAAAATCAAGCCTCCAAAGCTCTAATAGGTGCAGTAACAGAGGAAAAAATACTTTGTGTTCTGATCTGCTTTTAAGGATTAGCCCCGCCAACAAAACCACAGAAATGTCAACAAGCCCATCACTTAACCAATATGAGGTCTGCAAAACTGTACTGAACTAGTTTAATTCATATAGTTTTGGAAAAAAGGGTTAGTCCAGAAATGTTTCCCCAATAGAAGCATAAATTATCCACAATATTTAGGCAGAAGGCTGTGCAGTAGACATGTCCATATAATCAGGCATTCCGATTTTTGAATGGTTGAGAACATTCTGTTTTTTCATAGCAGCCACTACAGAGAAAAAGGTAGTGACCACTTGTTACCAGTCAGTGTGAAAGTTAGTACTCTTCCCAACCCAGCAATCCAAGGTCACTGGCCAGCTTAATATTAAAAAGATAACTTTACAAAGCTGTGTGCTGCATTACTATTGAAACAATAACTTCTAATTACAGCACAGCATATTAGAGCTCCTTTGCTGTCACTAAAAATATTTTGGAAGATGAAATAGTTGAGAATTTCTATATTCCAGAGAAAGGGCAAAGAAGCAGAAAAAGCAGGCAGCAGTTAGTGGTTTCAGATGGCCCTTCCCACTTGAATTGTTAGTACCTGACACTTTTTCAGCCACCCCTTATTAATATTTACAGACTACAGTAGTAGACTGCTACACTGATGTCACAGAAGAAAATAATTAACATTTCTCAAGCAGCTGAAGCAGTGAAAAAAAGAGAAAAATTCATGTCAACAGATGTGTTTTACCACTAATGATCATGAAACCATGATAGTTTTAATTGCTTAGACTTCCCCTTATAATAAGGTCACCATAAATTGTTGACTAAATAAAAAATAACATCAATATACATAACACTGAAAGCAGATGACTGAGATTTTTGAACCAGAAGCCATTGCTGGAAAAGGACAAATGCTTTTGAGAGCTGGTCACCTATTTGCTAGATATATTGTTTTAAAAATAAATCTATGGTTCATGGCAACTAGATAATTTCTTTCAAGGCTCTGAATGTGCTCCAACCAATCTGTAAAGAGCGGTCCTATACTGAAATTGGCCATTGACAGAAAGCAAAATGGGAGACAATTCAGCAACTTCCAGAGTACCAGTTTAACTAATCAAATAAGTTTGCTTATAGGTCCCAGTCCTGCAAGAATCTAAGAGTAATAAGTCCTTGGTCTCAACAGAATTTGAGGAGGATAAGCACCTTGAAGGTTCAGTTCTTAAGACAAAAAATAAGTCAGAAGAAAACTTTCATGAGGACCTATGAAGATCGTAAAAACATTTAGCAAAATGTGAAGCAATTGGGATAATTTAGAGGAGTGCTGCAAATATTTATTCTCAAGGTAAAGAACCCACCCATTCATATTTAAAATATTCATTGATTTTGCTGCTTCTTTTCTCGACTGCGGTTTTAGCTGTCTCAAGGGGATGCCACAACTGGCAGACTTCTAAAACTAGTGGATTTACCAAAATTACAGCCCCAGAATCTTTCCTGTTTCTCCCTATTTAGCAAAAATTACAGCAGGCAGACATAAATAAACATATTTCTATGTGTGTTAGATTTATCGAATCTTAATCTCTGTTTATATTCTCTTCATACTCTAGTAATTGACATTCCTGTAATGTATCCTACTTTGTCACAGTGACAAGAGACTGAGTGGACCAGACAAACTTTTTAAAGGCAGTAAGTGAGATCATATTAATTGAAGCACTCTTCCACTTGAGACCTTCATACAATTAAAAAAAATAATGCTCTGAAGTCTATATACTTAATGTGTTCCACAAAAGCCACCAACAATAAACTTATTTATAAACAATCTAAATTTGTGGCTTCACTTTAACTAGTTGACATATCTTAGTGGTAGAGTAGAACCTTAATAAGCACATTTGCAAGATTTTTGTCATGGATTATACCAAAGTGTCTACATATGTATAGATGTGCTATGGCACTGAACAGCCTGCTGTTCACAGACAAGGATTAGAAAGAAAAAAGTTACTTTGTACAGTCCTTTCTTCTTACAGAATGTACTATGTTAGTCTTCTCTTTTCAGATTTCTTTCTGTTTACTTGAAAATTGCTAAACTATATTTACATGGATAATGAGTTATTATCATTACAAATAGACTCTATTATTAGACTGGTAGCTGCTAACTGCATTACTCTGTGACTATCCTTTTAAAATGTACTCTAATGGATAGTCCTAACTACTCTTTAAAACTGAGGGGAGAAAAAAAATTGAGTTGGTAAAGTCTTAATCTGTTAATCTGTTCAGGATTCTTTCTCACTTTTTGGGGTCTCAGAAGGAAATGGCAGGATAACAATCCCACTAAGTGGACTTAGGTTCTGAGATCCCAGGTTATTCAGTGCTCAGCAATAGCTCTTTTAGTTGTTCACTATAGAAAAAACTGATGTTGATCGGTTTATGAATTTTTTTAAAAATAACCATATTGTCAGGAATTACACGTGTAATCATGGAAAAAGCCACTATCAACAGTTTTTCCCAATACCATTTTTTTACCCTTTCTGCATCTTCCACCTTCCAACTCTGGCCTTCCAGTTTCTTATGGCCATTCCCTCAAAGCCATCAGAAAACTGGGAGATACCTGAATATGCTGACTCTTACCTTCTGCTCATTTCTTTTCAAAGCACCCTCTTCATTTGTTAACAGTGAGCAAGAACAGGCAACCCTCTAAAGTTGCTAAAAGGAGAGTTGCTATAATGAGAAGAGAAAATAAACTCATGTGAGCATTCAGCTGTACACAGGCTGTGGAGCAACTTTAAACTGAAGCACTTGTGGCTTTGTTTGAGTATCATTTCACAAGGGCCTGAGAAGGGGACTGGAATTACTAGTGAAAAGGCATAGCATGAAAAATGGAAATAACAGGTGCATGTTTTAATAGCATTAGCCAGCAACACCTGTAACTGATAGACCAGAGTATGGGACTTCCAATAAATGGATACTGTCCATCTCTGTAATTATATGCTGGAAAATTTCATTTCTAAAATCTGTGATAAATTACTACAGAACGGAAGGCGTGCTGGCACCTTTCCAGTCACTGTCTTAGCCTCATTTCAGGCTTTGCCCAAAGGACCTGCATTAGATAAGCAAAAGATTAGGGTGGATGCATCTGGACAGAATCTGAATGAGGGCGGAATACAGACTGCTTGTGTATCTGAAGCAACACCACTATGGGAAGAATTGTGGTTCCCACAGACTAGCAAAGAACATCAAGGCTGACAAATGCACGGAGAAAATGGGGGACAGTAATTTTCTGAGGATGATGAAACAAAGACAAAGATCATGCAGGGTTAGAAAATTGGTATTAAATGAAAAATATTTGTGCACCGATCACAAGCATAATTTCCCTTGAGACTAACCAAGTGTGAGGATAAATGTCTGGAAGCAGTCTCTGCACTAGGGTTCAGAAGAAAGGAACAAGGAAGCAAAGCAAAGCTGTATGAAATCTGAATACAGCAGTGCTATACGATACTTCCGAGCAGTTCCATTAAAACAGGATTTTCTCCCATCCCACAGAGGTTTAACTGCCTTTCAGACATATTTAATTTTACACCAGACTTCCAAGTAAGTACAAATTGATCTCAGCACTTTTCAACAACATTTGTTAGGCCATTTTAAAAGTTGGAAGCCAGTTGTAGTTTGGGAGCTGTTTTACAGCTGAAAACTAGCTGGTTTGTGTTTTATAAAACCAGTCCATAATGGTAATTAGCTTCATCAAAAACCATTGACATAATAATAATTGAGCAGTTTAATATTTTCAAATTGACTACTAAATACATGTAATGCTTTTACATCTAAAAAATGTTGTGGGTGAATTTGGTGCATATAAAGGCAAAGGACAAACCACACTACCACAAGTCAAGGACTGCATGCAGACACTGCTCAAGCTTTCACATACAGCTATTCACACATAGCATTCAAGTACTTATCTGCAATACTTCAATGTAAGACGTGGGCAAATTCACCACACCTCTTTCTCCTCCCATGAGTATTCCCACTGACATCATTCAGTCCAATGGACTGCTCAAAGTCATAAGAATCAAAAGAACAAAGTTATTTCTTCCTCTAGGACACAATTCAAAAATCTCATTACTTTTAGATTTACAAATCATGTGATCGTGTCTGGAGTTGATCAAAAAAATTGAATATTCTGATACTGTAAATAACAGCTTTCAGGGAAAATTCTACTCAGTAAAAGCTTTGATATCTCATCCTTGCTCTGGTTATAAACACACATCAAAAATATTAGAGTTTCTTGCTGAATGAATGTTTCCTTCTCCAATCTATATGACTAATTTAGATTTTAGAATGCAAAGTATTTTATTTCATTTTTGTGAATTTGCATCTGTAAGATAAAGACTATTCATTCAGTGCTATTCCATCTCCCTCTGGAACATGCAATAAACCTGGGTGGTGTACTGGTTGTAAGTTCTGCTCTTCTTTACAGTCCTTGTCTGCATACCTACAGCTGAACTAAACATCCAAAGAAGAATACAGCTCAGAGATACCATCAGCCTGAATTTAGTAAACTTTAGTTCTGATCACTCCATGTGTTCCCTTCTAAATCAGTTTTTCTCAAGAAAGTTAGGCCTCACACCATTTTTCTGAACCTGTAGTTAAAGTTATATCTAAGCTTTTTCAGGATTGTGCTACAGACAGCCCACAAGACTTTGCTCTAATTGTACAAACTCAGTTTCTGCCCTGATAAAATCAGAATTGTATCTATTTGTCAAATATATTGTAGACTAAATTGTCTGTAGGGGGATAAGATCTCCAGTAAGACCACGTCTTACTGCAGATTTAGCATACTATGTACAGATAGCTTGGCACAGATGTCATAAAACATTATTAATTTTCTTAAGATTTCCCCAGAGCATGACAGAATTACTCCAGTATTTGAAAGTGCCATCACATGATCATGTAAGCTATCTGAAAAAAAAAACCAGGCAAAAAAAAAAAAATCTATTCAAGTCTTTCTAAGTGTTCTTATGGGTCAGTGGCAGCAGTAAGTTCAGAAAGCCTGTCTTGACACCGTAACATGCTACCTGTGCTTCACAAACTGAAAGAAGGCAATTTTAGTAGGCATGATTTTGCTAAACTTTCAGCATGTGCATGTTTTGGATAGCTTGTCAGGTCCATAAAAATCTCACTGAATTAAAACTGAGAACTGACTGACCTGCAAGAAGCCAGTACACTGGCTGTCTGGTGCTGTCTGTAGCTTGATAGCTAGAAAATCAATCCACTAGTCAAGGCAGCATCTTTCTGATTTCTCAAAGTTGACAACGTGAAGCAAAATGCAATGCAACAAAGCCTGAGGTCACAAGACCACTCCTGTGAATTGAAACCAAGGAAAAAAATTGTCCTGTGGGTGGGATCTACCTCTAATTTCTTCAAAGGACATCTGGTCTGTCTGTCAAAGCACACCCTTTAGGGGTCTGGCCATAAAATTGCAATTCTGCACTTGTTAACAAGCAACAGGGCTGGAAGCTCGAGAACTCAAAGAGTGAGATCTCCTGTATTTGACAAGAAAGGATAAATATTTTATTTCTCGTTTGATTTGAGTCATTTGTTCTGAGCAAAGAAGCACAGGAGAGGATCCCTTCAAGTCTTTCCTTGCTCAGAAGGAGACATCTGCCATGGTAATTTCACTGCACAAATATTCCTTCACATGTGCTATTACTCTACCTGTTCCTAGGACTTCCAGGAAACATTCTTTAATTAAAGCAGTAGTGCACAGAAAGGCAGAAAGTCAGTCTTTCCTACTAACAGTTCTTACACCCAAGAGGAATTTCCTACCCTGTAAATCTTCACAGTGCTTGGACAAAGTAAGAAAGCAAAGGGAATTCAAAATTCACATCTCCACCCATAAATCCATTTCTTTAAACAAAACAGTCCCATTAAAACATGGAGGAAAATTTCACTAACTTTATTCGACAACTTTCCAAGTGATCTTTCCATGTGAGGAAGCTGTACGACTTCCTGATTCACCGGGGAGTGAAACATTCACAGGATATGCACCAGAGCCCCAGCTTTGGTACCCAGCGCTCAAAGTGCAGGTGGAAGATACTTGTAACAGCACAAGTAACACAGAATCCTGCTGGCTGACACTGAGGCAGCTCAGAATATACATTAGTCCTTCCAAAGCCAATTCAAATCTTTTAGCTCAAATTCTAGTTGCTTTGGACAAGAGCACATAGTAAAGCTTTGTGTTCAAATTGCCCACTTTAGACCAAACCACAATTCTTTTGAAAACTTAAAATCGTGAAAATTGAAGATGTGGGTATGAAGAACAGTGCTTTCAAGAGGAAGGTAAGATATTGTTGGTTGGTAATTAAAATTCAGAGGTTACTTCAGGCTTTCAGTCACTTCAAAAACTGAACTCTCACACACATTTTGAAGATATTCTGTTCAGGTCTAACATCGGTTGTGTCAACTGGTTCTGTCACTTAGTTGCTAGAAATCCTTGTAGCTGTGGGCTAGCCTGCCCCCATGAAATTGCACTCTAACCCCCAAAAATCTGTCTTAAACTATAAGTCACAATGAAGCATGAAGGGTTTTATCCTCTACTCAAATTATTCATCTTGTAAACCATTAACTGTAACAGGTGATGTTTTTGTTGTTGTGTTTATCTCACTTGGAGTATTTTGCTCTATTCTTCACTTCAAGATTTTGGAGAAGTCTCAAGTGTCACAGTCTTATCCTCCTTGGATAAGAAAATATTTTCTTGGGCTGATTTTCAGTTTGCCAACTTTCACTGGAAACACTCCTTGCAAAGGAGGGCTCCCAGACTAATAGGAGACTATATTTACAAATGTTTAGGGATTTTTTATTATAACCCCTCTTATTTGTCTTCTGATGGATATGTTCCAATCATTCCAGTCTCACTTCAGTCTTCCCATTATCATATCTCCATAACAGACATTTCCTTTTGGAAATTGTGTGACTAAAACACACAATATTTTTATCAAAAAAATAATAATAAAAAAGTCTGATTTTTCTAATGGTGTAAATTTTTTTTGATATTGTTCTCCAGACCATTCCTTACTCAACCTAAAAAGCCCCCTCCTTAAAGACTTTACAGGCTAACTCAAAACAAGTCCTTTCCCTGTCAAACACACATTGAAGGTAGGAAGGAAAAATGTGATGTTCAAGCAAAGTCATTAAGATGACAAATTCTAATGCTATGTTATTTCTGTAATTTTCTTTAACAGAATTGCTTTATTTATTCTGGAAATTCTTAGGGAATGATTCTCTATCACCTTTGTACCATAACAGGGCAGCTGGGCATTCCCTGATGTAGGAAATCCCTGCACAAAATAAGGCAGTGTAGGAGGCCTTCATAGGTGGCCAAGGCGGAAAGGAGCAAGTGGCATAGGATAGGCCCTTGGGAACTGTTCTAACTAGTGTAATTTAGAGCATTCCTGCTCTCAGTTATGCCAGGGGCCACTTTGGCATCAATTCAACCTAGAATCCAGGGAGATGAAAAATGGCTTAGAGCCACTTTCCCCCTCCCTATACCCTGGGCCTGCACCATGTGTGGTTTGGCTGGCTCTGAGGATCTGGCCCCTACATTTTTAAACAGAGCATTTTAAGTTTAAGTTGAAAAGTGAAAGAAAACGGAATATGAAGAGTAAAAGGAGTAGAAAAGTGCTAAAGGGAGAGATTAAAATAAAAAAAATGGGAAAAGGAGGGAAACAGAATGGGTGGTATTGCTAAGTGTGAAGCAGAGCTCATGTTTAGTAAACTCAAGGAGAGCTGGGGAAGTCTGGATTCACTTCCCAGCTACACCAGACTTTTAAATGACAACACTAGTCTATTAAAGTCACTTTCAGGAGGACCACTGAACTTCTTTGGCCAGCCATACTAAATATGTTTAGCTTATTCCCTGAGAACTAAAAAGCTTTGCCTGCAACCAGTGTCACAGAACCTGAGGTACAAAGTACCTTACAGCCCTAATTACCTACGATAGAGCCATGTCTGAAAAGAAGGACACTCCTGTCTTGAGAAGATCCACAAGACACATACATGGAATAGCTTTGGTGCAAGACTGAGTGCACGGAACTCAGGAATGATGCTCGGTACTGTAGCTTCTCCTCCATCATGATATAATAGACCATGCTGTGTCACACCATGGTAATGGAGAGCTCAGATCCCATGGTAAATCTGCGTTCAATGTAAACAAGAGAGGGAGGTAGGAAGGGATTTTAGAGATGGGGGACCCTGAAATTTCATTTCAAAATGTGCATGTTCATCAAACTTTACTCAGTTTTCCTTCACCTTTGTTTTGCCTTTGCAAAACTGAAATACCAATTCCTCTATAACAGCAGTGTGGTAAGGATGCATTTGGACATTTGCATATGTCCAAACTCAACAGCAACATGTAAAAGAGACGGGAAAAATCCCTACACTAATGGAACTTCAGTCTCAGATTTCAGTGTATCTTGACAAATAGACAAAGGACAGGTGTTCCTAGAATTACGGTTCAGCGTGTATCCAAACATGCTGATAAAACTTTATAATATTAGCTGGAAAATGTGGATTATCTTATTGGAATCCTGCAATATCCATTATATTCAAGTTATGCCACACTATGCAAAGTGCCAGAACAGGAATGCTGGGCATGTGGACAGAGGTATAAGGGGTGTAAATATTCATTCTGAGCACCTTCAGCATACCTTGCCCGTCAGCCTTTGTCATAGGAGTCTCCAAGGAATAAACCCTACTATTCTAGAAAGGTTCACTGGTAAGCAAGAGTCTTAAAAGAAGGAATAGAAGGAGGGAGAAAGAAGCTAGAAGCAGAGCATAATTCCCATTTACAGCCCTTCAAACCTTACTAACTATATCTAGCAGGTTTAGTAGCGTCACAGAACTGGTAGGTGTTGTGCCCCATTTCTGCAGAATATTTGTAGAAGTTCTGTGTTATACACCCACCACTACTACTTTCATGGTGGGAGATGATGTTCAACAGCCCTGAACGTGTTCCCCACCACAAGGTGAAGTCCTTGTTAGAAGTGCCCAGGGAGACAATCCTAAGTTTTCCTGACTCAGAGATCCTCAAACTGCAAGTTTGAGGGGGGTGTCAAACCCCAACCTCTTGTACCTTTCCCAAACACTTCCCAGACCAGTGGAACAGTACTCCAAATGTCCTCAGTGCCCAAAACCTCTTCACCCTGCACTAGCATTATTCTCCTTTTTATATTAACCTAGGGCATCCTTTCTCCAAAGAAAGAACCTCCAAAATACTTTCTGAGGTTTGGAATAGCATCAAGCTGTTCTATTTAGTGCCTCCATG